ATTGTAATGTGGTGTTTTTAATTTGTACATCATTTCAAAACAATTTTATTCTTTGAGTGGGCGTCCCTCTGAATCGGGAAAAAAATGGAGGAGCTGGGGAAGAAAAGGGGAACGGAGGACGTAAAGATATGGAAAAAAAGCGTAGTGACACTCATCTGTATTGGTCTCATCAACCTCCTCCTCAGGTGACGAGGCTGTGGCTAAGTGGACAACAGAGTAGGCAACACGTTTCAAATTTCACAAACGATAAACACCCCCTGTTCCCTCCGCTGTACCTCACGACCTTTGGTTGGGATGATGCAAGCGGTGGCTAAAGCAAGTATGTGAATTAGCAGCATTGCTCCTCCCTTACTCAATCTGCAACAATGTTATATGGGTTAATCGTTTTACAATTTGACATGATCATTAGGAATGCGATAGGGTGTTTTGTTATAGCTATAGATAGTAGCACAGCGATACCACGTATTAGTCTCTACTATCATTATTCCACCAGTGAAGGATGGGGGGTGGTGTGGTGTGGGGTTTTGTACGACAGCGTGAGAGAATAGTGACAATGGCGCGGCGTTGCAAGATAGTACGATGGAGTCAACAACAGATTAATGTGGTCTCTTTCACATATATACTTGAGCATACTGTCACGACAGAAATAATATACAGATATATTGTTTTATATGTGAAATTTTAGGCTGCAGGTCGCTGCTTTGCACTATAATGAAAATGCAAATAGGGCACATGCTGCAACGTCTGTTGGGGAGCTGAGGTATTCTGTAGTGTACCCAAAATACAAGCGCGGAGACTACACAGTGAGAGCCATGAAAACCAACCCTACTTCATGTATGTCATATTTATTGAAACTAGCATGACGCTTATAAGTATTATGAGGATAAACTTTGATTTTTTTTAGACTACATTGACAAGTCTTATGGATCTGCTTTTTGAAAGCGTGGTGGAGGATGCCCGTCCTTATCAGGAATATACTCTGACAAAGTACCTGTGCCTGAACCACTCTGTGCCCAGTTTGAAAGACCTGACAAACAGGAGGCTGTAAGCAGGCACAGGTCCAGGTTTGTCAAGAGAACGTAAGGTGAGCAACACAACACATTGCCACTCTAACAAAAGTCTGAAGTACAATAATGTATTGCTAATGTTTCAGTTGGTAAAAGAAGCATGCAAGAGACTCGGCTATTATGTTGGCTCTGCGGTTTCGGATGGATGTTGACAAAATCAGCCCTCTGTACCACACATCAACCCTTGTGAAGTTCCACTCGACATTCAAAATTTCCAATAAAACTGGACATTCAATGGAATGTTGGCCAGGTCATTTTACCTGAGTACATACTGTTAAAAATGTTGCATGTGTATCTAATCAAGTTTTATGTATGTATGTATGTATGTATGTATATATATATATATATATGTGTGTGTGTGTGTGTGTGTGTATATATATGCTTCCTTTTGTAAATATGTTATTGTAGGACCTTTATTCTGTTCTACTTGTTCCAAATGTACCTTGTTGTTTATGAAAATGTCACCTCAAAGCTGTTGCTATATAGTAAGTAAATTCCTCTACTGGGCACTCAAACTTTTGTTTAGATATTCTTTTTTTGAGGGTGCAGCCTTCAAAAGCTAAGTAAGCTACATCAATATTGAGAGTAAAAGTGCAGTATAAAAGCATGATTTCAAATCGATACTGAAATAACCAATCACTAAAAGTTACAATTCTTTTCAGATATTTTTTTAATTGACACAATAAATTACAAATAAAACACTTTAATAAAATAAAACTAGTTGAAGTCCAGTGGTGGGAGAAAACCTCTATACTTGCCATCTTCAGGGAACTCGCTCCTAATCCTGGTCACCGCGCAGGAGGGGATGATGACCCGTACGTGTTCCCCCAAATACCCCCAGCACCACCGGACAAAATTACGGTAGGCCAGGTGCCTATAACCGCTGAAAGAATGGTGGTGCGTGTTAAAGAAATAATCAATAGATTATAATGTAACTATAAACTAACCTGTTCACCATGGTCTCTGGCATGTCTCCAAACAGTTGCACGTATGTGGCGTACACTGCTTGGAGAACATATGGATTTAGAGCCACTGGCTCAAATCCGGGGTGCTGGGTTATGCAGGTGTCCACACCCACCTGCTGACATCTGCACATTACCTATTACAGTGATGTCAGTCAGAATTTTAATGATGACATCGGGGACAAGACTTTAGTCTTGTGTAGTCAAAATGTTTGAGCATGTTAAATTAATGTTTTGTGTACATAATTGTATATTATGTTGTGGTATCGTTTCCATCAAATACCTTCGGGGTCTCCCTGCAGCACACGTTTTCCCTTGGGGACAATGAGGTGCAGTGGCCGCAGGTGCACCTATTGAGACGGAGTCTACAATATTATAACTATATGATAACACAATATATTGTCTATCTAGGTGTGGGGTCATTAATTACATTTACAGAGGTTTAATTCGACGAAAAGGTTAAGCAAAGGGCGCAACATAAGGGGGTAATTTAATTATATGGGACTGTGTTCTAGCCTATGTAATAACCCACGCTTGTCAAAGGTTCGAATCAGACAGGTTAGAATTTGGGGGTTCCAATTCCTACAGGATTGCTTATCAATACCTGTGACCTAAATGCAGATCGTACTTTTTTATGCCACTGTAATCAATATATACCATTCAGAAACAGGCCCCATTCTGTGGCGCTCTGCAGCCTCCGCAGCCTCAGCAGCCTCCGCAGCCTCAGCAGCATCGGCTCCCCCGGTGGCGCCAGCTAGCTCGCGAGCTAGCGGCTCAAATTGATAGGGCTGAGGACCGCTGTCTGCCTCCTCTCTTTCAAACTCCTCTCTCTCAACCTCCGGTGAGGACGGTGGAGAGAAGTCCTCCACCTCCCAAGACCGCACAGAAGCTGTGGAGCTGGCGTCGCTGTGTTCACTCTCCATCATTGACACGGCCAATGCTGATGTCAAGTGTCAATCACAGCTTAGACCCGCCCAACATTCACCCCCCCGCCTGTCCCCTTTGGTCCTCCAGGCTACGCCCATTTGGAGGGAGATTTGAACAGGAAATGTGAGTGACGTAAGCCTCGAGGAGCGGGGGTGAGAACCTCTTTAACTGTTGAGAACAGAACACGCAGATTGTTGCTGCAGCCTTCAATCATTTCAGAAAAATACCTTTCTCTCGTACTACGTAGCACCCGGTTAAACTCGCACAACTTATCTTTGAAGATGTCGTAATCAACCTGGAGGTTGGACTTGCGCCACTTCCGCTCGGCACTTTCTTTTTTGTGCCCTGACCGAGTCTGCTTTAGCCCACGGCGCCTTCTGCTTATTTTTCACTATTTTAACCTTCACAGGGGCAACGGTATCCAGAACATTCAAAACACTAGAGGTGACAGAGTTAAACAGTTCATCTACAGTAGAATACGATGCATTCTCAAAGTTTATCATTCCCATAAATAGTTCACTCGTATTTTCATTTATGCGCCTTCTTCGAACAGTTGCAGAGTCCACTGGTGGTTTGTTAGTGAAACACATGTCAAAAAAAACACAGAAATGATCCGAAAGAGCAACATCGACCACGTTTACATTTGAAATATTCACCCCCTTAGTAACTAACAGATCTAGAGTGTGCCCTCTGCTGTGGGTGGGGCCACTTACGTGCTGAGTGAGATCAAAGGATTCAAGTACAGAACTTAGCTCATTTGCATTTCTGTCATCAACATTATCCACATGAATATTAAAATCACCTGTAATAACCAAACTATCAAAATCTGTGCATACAACTGAAAGCAACTCGGTAAAATTATCAATAAAACTGTGACATGACTGTGGTGGCTTGTAAAGGACAATGAAGAGTATTGGAGGAGATTGTTTTTGTTGTATTTTAAAAGACACATATTCAAATGACGAAAACTTCCCAAGAGACATTCTATGGGAGACAAAGTGGTCTCTAAAAATGGCAGCTAAGCCTCCTCCTTTTTTGTTTTCCCGTATTTCAGATTCAAACTTGAAATTTGGTGGTGATGCTTCTATTAAAACTGCATTTCCTGAAATTTGGTCAAGCCAAGTTTCAGCCATAAACATAAGATCAAGATTATGAGAACAAATAAAATTATTGATTAAAAAAGACTTGTTACAAAGAGATCTGACATTAAGCGTAGCAAGTTTCAAAGTTTCAGTATCAGCGGTTGCGGTCGGCTGATTCTTACACGGAACAAGAATTAGATTTTCCAGATTAGACTGATTAACTCCAGATGTTTTTCTGTAATGTATTCTTTGTGTTATCACTAAGGGAATGGCACAGGTGGCTTCATGACAGGGCCCCAGCCGGGTCTCTCCTCTAACTAGACTGCCAGTGGCTGCGAAGCAGAGACCCTGTGCATCCTAGTGTTTAGAGAAAAGAGGGGAAGGGGAAGGCGGGGGAGGAGGATGGAGAAGTGGGTGGCTTTTGGGTGTTGAACGAGGGGGGCAGGGATGTGGAGGGGTTTTTGGTGATGGGTTAGGGCCGGGGTGGGCTGAGGCAGAGGTTTTGGATGTTGAACGAGGGGGAAATGGGGGTGGAATGGTCATGAGGTTAGGGGAGGGACTGGCTGAGGTGGTTTTTGTAGGTGAATTGGAAACCCTAGGTGGTTTTGGAGGTACATATGGGGAGTGGTTTAGAATATTGGACAGGACTCTAGATCTAGCTAATATGGGTGTGAGAGGAATAGTCTTTATTAGCCCTGCAAAGTGTTCAGGTAGGTCTAACAGTGAAGGCGGGGATGAAAAACAAAGGGAGGTGTCCCCATTCTCTCTTGATGGAGTGGACGTGGCAGGGGGGACCCAAGACAGGTCCATGGGAGGTGGCGAGGGAGTCTTTGATGGAGGGGCAGGTGGTTGAGGAAACCCCAGCACAGGCCTGTCTGCTGTAGGCTGGGGTGAGGATGGGGGCTTCAGAGGCGCTGTAGATGAAGAAGGCGTGGCTGCTTTGGAGCAGGCTGGGGATGAGGATGTTGGTGGTGGTGGTCGTGCTGCTGGTGGTGCTACTGGTGATGATGCAGCTGCTGCTGGTGCTGCTGCTGGTGCTGGTGGTGATGCAGCTGCTGCTGGTGATGATGCAGCTGCTGCTGGTGATGATGCAGCTGCTGCTGGTGCTGCTGCTGGTGCTGGTGGTGATGCAGCTGCTGCTGGTGCTGGTGGTGATGCAGCTGCTGCTGGTGCTGCTGCTGGTGCTGGTGGTGATGCAGCTGCTGCTGGTGCTGCTGCTGGTGCTGGTGGTGATGCAGCTGCTGCTGGTGATGGTGTTGAGATCCTTTGAGGCGGTGATGGTGTTGAGATCCTTCGAGGTGGTGGTGGTGTTGAGATCCTTCGAGGTGGTGGAGGTGCAGAGACTTTTAGAGTCTGCTTCCTCCCTTTCGATGGCTGCACGCGCTGCGCAGGCTGAGGTCTCAGGGCAAAAGAAAGGTTATCCATCAACACTTTTACTCCGTAAGTGTTCAGATCTCTCTTCCTCTCCGAGATTCTTCCTTCTCAGACGGATCACATGGCTCAGTCTTTAACTCCATCATCACTGCACGATACGTCCCTGGTCACCTTAACTGCATACTGACTGTCTCTCTCGCTTTAAATTCCAGGAATTCCGGCATCTAGGCTACATGATGCCATGCGAGATCCCCGCCATGGAGTTCCTTCGCCTTGGACTAGTCCCACCTTCTCTTCGTCTTCTCTTCTCCTCTGCTTCTTCGCACATGAAAATGGGTCTTTTACGCTCAAAACATACAGCTTCGCTGGAAAGTCTACTCCCACTTCTACTACTCACACAACATTCCTTAACTTTTCCTGCCGTTCATGCAATCAGTGCTTTCACAGTGCTGACAATCTCCTTTCAATATCTCCTATACCTACCCTGCTCGCTGGGATCCAATTTCAGGCCCGCTGCTAAAACCCTGTTCTCTCCCCTTTACCCTCAGAGCCGTCTCTCAAACTCCTCGTCAAAGGCACCCACATCTGCTACTACGTAATCTGTCTCCCCATCTCTACACAGCTCACTCCTTCAGGACAGGCGTTGCTACGCACGCGGCATCGCTGGGTTTCCCCTTCTGCCCTCCACAGCTGTGGCACTGCTCATCCTCTGCCCTGTTCATATACATCGGGCCAGACACTACGACTGTACAGGCAGCCCAGCGCTCCTTGGCATCCCTGAAAGCACTTGCAAAAAACTTCCTGGTGGTGGCAGCAGCTGAGCATTTATATATAGCGGTGCATTTATACATAGCGGTGCATTTATATATAGTGGTGCATTTATAAATAGCGGTGCATTTATATATAGTGGTGCCTTTATATATAGCGGTGCATTTATATATAGCGGTGCATTTATACATAGCGGTGCATTTATATATAGCGGTGCATTTATATATAGCGGTGCATTTATATATAGCGGTGCATATATAGCGCTCCTTGGCATCCCTGAAAGCACTTGCAAAAAACTTCCTGGTGGTGGCAGCAGCTGAGCATTTATATATAGCGGTGCATTTATACATAGCGGTGCATTTATATATAGTGGTGCATTTATAAATAGCGGTGCATTTATATATAGTGGTGCCTTTATATATAGCGGTGCATTTATATATAGCGGTGCATTTATACATAGCGGTGCATTTATATATAGCGGTGCATTTATATATAGCGGTGCATTTATATATAGCGGTGCATTTATATATAGCGGTGCATTTATATATAGCGGTGCCTTTATATATAGCGGTGCATTTATATATAGCGGTGCCTTTATATATAGCGGTGCATTTATATATAGCGGTGCATTTATATATAGCGGTGCATTTATATATAGCGGTGCATTTATATATAGCGGTGCCTTTATATATAGCGGTGCATTTATATATAGCGGTGCCTTTATATATAGCGGTGCATTTATATATAGCGGTGCATTTATATATAGCGGTGCCTTTATATATAGCGGTGCATTTATATATAGCGGTGCCTTTATATATAGCGGTGCATTTATATATAGCGGTGCCTTTATATATAGCGGTGCATTTATATATAGCGGTGCATTTATATATAGCGGTGCCTTTATATATAGCTGTGCCTTTATATATAGCGGTGCCTTTATATATAGCGGTGCGTTTATATATAGCGGTGCCTTTATATATAGCGGTGCATTTATATATAGCGGTGCATTTATATATAGCGGTGCCTTTATATATAGTGGTGCATTTATATATAGCGGTGCATTTATATATAGCGGTGCCTTTATATATAGCGGTGCATTTATATATAGCGGTGCCTTTATATATAGCGGTGCATTTATATATAGCGGTGCATTTATATATAGCGGTGCATTTATATATAGCGGTGCATTTATAAAGAGCGGTGCATTTATATATAGTGGTGCCTTTATATATAGCGGTGCATTTATATATAGCGGTGCATTTATATATAGCGGTGCATTTATATATAGTGGTGCCTTTATATATAGCGGTGCGTTTATATATAGTGGTGCCTTTACATATAGCGGTGCATTTATATATAGCGGTGCCTTTATATATAGCGGTGCATTTATATATAGTGGTGCCTTTACATATAGCGGTGCATTTATATATAGCGGTGCATTTATATATAGTGGTGCCTTTATATATAGCGGTGCATTTATATATAGCGGTGCATTTATATATAGCGGTGCCTTTATATATAGCGGTGCATTTATATATAGCGGTGCATTTATATATAGCGGTGCCTTTATATATAGTGGTGCCTTTATATATAGCGGTGCATTTATATATAGCGGTGCCTTTATACACGGCGGTGCACGTACGTGGTCGTCCCTTGCTAAACAGGCCTAAACAAGTTCTTCCCGTCAAACCCACAGCCTTTTTGGGGATTGTGCGCGCACTCACGCAGGAGCCTCGCTGACTAAACGCCGCACCGGGACCTAGGGCGCCAAACCACCTTTCAATAAAAACATTCAAAATGCATTTTGTCTTCTGAAGTCTCTCCAGATTGAAATGCAGCCTCACGGAAATTCAACGAAGACTCATTCTGGATGACTGACGGCTAAAGCCACCCTTTCAAGGCCGGCCTCGCATCCTCAGCCTATCGCACAGCAATGGCCATTTCCAACCAACCTACGCTGGTCAAGCCAGCAGCTTAAAAGTGGAGAAACTCCCACTTTACGGCCTTCTCGAAGCCTCGCAAACCACCGCCTCCCCTCCACCTCCTTTTCTCACCATGCCTCAAGCATGCCTCCTTCCTGCTGCCCGAATCCCACCACCAGTGCCTAGGGATTGTGCGCGCACTCACGCAGGAGCCTCGCTGACTAAACGCCGCACCGGGGCCTAGGGCGCCAAACCACCTTTCAATAAAAACATTCAAAATGCATTTTGTCTTCTGAAGTCTCTCCCGATTGAAGTGGGAGAGGAGCACAGATGTCTGATGATAACGTACAGCCAGTGTCACCTATGGACGTTTTGCGCACAAACTAGCTCTGGCTAATCCGTCTCCCAGATGCTCCTCACATCATTTCCACTGATGCTGAGGTGGACATATAAAAACAGAGACTCACTGAACAAGGGCAAAGTGCTGAACATAATACATTGTATGTGGTCATTTTAACAACAGCAATTTTCACGTTTTCATTCTTTATTTTTTATTTTTTTAAACGTTAGTAGAGTCAATGTTATTGACTGTCTTCCCCTTTGTCCATTTCTGGGTTGGGGTGGCACCCCAAACGCCACCCAGTCCTGAAAGCACCAGTCCCTTGCTGATCCTCCTCTAGATGGTGAGTCCACAGGAGGATGGATGCCCTGTCAGTGACAGGATAGCCTTGATCTTTCAGCGGGGGTTTCAGGCAAAGTGGGGTTGAGTGTCTTGCCCAAGGACACAACGACGGCAGACAGTGGAGTTGGTGGAATAGGTCTTCGGTGGGCTTGAACCAACAACCTTCAGGCTACCAACTGAACCACTGTCACACCTGTTATTCGTCTGTCCATAGTTCAAATATGCATAGCTGACAAGCCCAGTATTTTCATACGATGGCAGTTCTGTCCATTATGTGATAATCCATGTTTATCTTTAGTAAACATATAGATCACATGACATTTTAGAGTTAAAACAATGTTATAGAAAGTTTGTGTAAGCTCTCAGTCGTACAGGGATTAGTCAAAGCAAAGGAAGGTTTCTCACCCATCATCTGTACTTCTTAGCAAGTTTTCCCGACGTTTCGTCCTCAACCTAGCGGACTTCTTCAGGGAATGAATTCTCGGACCGCGCGTTGGAGATTTATAACCTATGGGTGTGGTTAGCCACACCCTAATCCTGATACTAACTCATAAACAATCTACGGTCTGCTTGATGTAGAAGGGAGCAGGTCTAACGACCCTGCTGAGGCTAACGACCCTAACTCCTTAGCATGTCACAGACCTATTGTCTGCTGGGATGCTCAAGTGGAGTGCAGGTCTCACCCCTCCTAACTCATTAGCATGTCACTGACCTTGTCCCAAGTTAGGGCGTTGTTTTTAGGATGTCGTCATAGATGCGAGGCAAAACAAATCTTAACCCTCCTCCTCTGTTAAGAGAAGGTTTTTGTTTCCTCACAAAAATGGCTTCTTTCACTCCTCTCTCAAACCAATTCTTCTCCCGAGCCAGAATTTTAACCTCTGTGTCATCCACCGTGTGGTTGGAGGCCTTGAGGTGGAGATGAACAGCCGACTGTGGCCCACTAGAGTTTTCTCTACGATGTTGGTAAAGTCGTTTCTGTAGAGTTTGTTTGGTTTCTCCAATATAGTGGTCAGTGCACTCCTCTTCACTACATTTAATTGAATACACCACATTGCTCTGTTTGTGTCTGGGTGTTTTGTCTTTGGGATGCACTAATTTCTGTCTTAACGTGTTGAAAGGTTTGAAATACACAGGGATTTTGTGTTGCCTAAAGATTCTTTGTAGTTTGTTACACCCTGGCTCTACAGGTGCAACATAAAGGACAACAGGCAACTAAAAGTTAATATAATTTATTAACAGAAACAAAAGTCTAGGGAGATAACACAACGAAAACCAAAAAGGGGAAGGCAGGTGTGGTGGTGAGCAGGGCTGCTGCTGCCAGGACAGAGAGAGAGATGGGTGGAGTCAGGGTGTGGTCTTATAGGCTCCCAGCAGGGAACCTGATGCAGGCTGGAAATCCTGGAAGTGGATCCTGGAACTGGAACAGGTCTGAATGGCAGCTCCACATAACACCCCCATCCATAAGCAAGTTGATCTCAAATCAACATGCAAACTGAAGGCTCCAATCCTCCAATAACGCAGCGGTCCAGAGAGACACCACATCTTGGACCCAGGATGATGAGTGGATTGGTCAGAAACAGGCCACAGCAACCACAGATAAACTGG